TTTGCAGGTTCCCTCTCCGACCGAGCGCGCGGAGAGGGAGCCTTTGCAGGTTCCCTCTCGCGGCTGGAGCAGGAGCCTTTGCAGGCTCCCTCTCCAACGAAACGAACGCGGGAGCCTTTGCTCCAGCCGGACGTAAGCAGGAGAGGGAACCTTTTGCGGGTTCCCTCTCCCGCGGCTAGAGCAGGAGCGTTATCAGGTTCCTTCTCCAGGCAAGCCATCGCGGGAAACCGAGCCTTTGCAAGTTTTCTTTGAAGGCTCCCTCTCCAGCCGGATGAAGGAAGGACAAGGAGCCTTTGTAGGTTCCCTGTCACGCGGCGGGGGCCTGTGCGAGTTTCTTCTCCAGGCGGGAGAGGGAGCCTCTGCAGGTTCCCTCTCGTGGCTACGGAATGAATTTATTTTTAGGTTCCGGCTGTAACCAACCACGACGGCGACGACCAAAAAACACAACAAACAACGGAGGGTGCGGAAGAAGGGGGAATGATGGAACGAGGATCCAACTAATATCGCTGGGTGCTCGCACCAGCCTGCAGCGAATGCTACTCGCACGAGGCTCCAGCTCGAAAGTGCCCGGCTGAAACTGCTTCCATCATCAGTGTGCCCCAGTCGGGAGGGGGCTCCCGCCTAAGACTTCCTCGCGTTGCAAAATTCCGATGGCCCGCTCGGGTTGAAAACACAAAATGCGGGCCCCATAGAGAGGGGGTTCCCGCCTGAGACTTGCTCGCATCTACAACATTTACAAGATTCGGACGGCCCGCTCGGATGAATGACGTGATTTGCAGGTCCCATAAAGACGGGACTCCCGCCGTAGACTTCCTCGCATTTAACTCACGGACGAGGCTCCCGAGCGAAACTTCTTCCAAATTCACTTCAAGGGCCAACGCCAGTTACAGGATTCGGATGACCCGCTCGGGTTAATAACAATATCTGCGGGCCCCTGTAAGGAGGGGGCTCCCGCCTGGCACTTCCTTGAATTTCACTCACGAATGAGGCTCCCGCACGAGACTTCCTTCACATGCAAGGCTCAGGGGCCCGAAGCTGATGACACTTACACGGTTCGGATGACCTGGTCGGATTGAAAACACGAAGTGTGGGACCCACAGAGGGGGCTACCGCCTGAGACTTTCTCGCGATTCACTTCTCCTCAATTCACTCACACATGGGGCTCCCAATCGAGACTTTTCTTAAGCTGAGCGCGTATGCGTATACATATGTGTGTGCGATCATGAGGGTAATGAGGAGGATGCTGTGACGGTGATGATGGTGAAAACGACATGGTGATGATGAACGAACTTTTTGATCATGGTGGTAGTGGTGTCGGTCATGAGTTGAGCGCGTGAAACATATATCATGTGTCGTGTGTGTGAGAGTGTGGGTAAACATGGTGTGAATGATTGAATGACTGATGACGGTGTTGTGAGTGGTGATAAGGAGGCTCTGCTGTTATGATGATGATGGGCTGTGAATGATTGGATGAATGATTGTGCGAAGGGACTGAAGGAGAAGGGGAGGGAGATAAAAACTGCGCGGTGCGTCCAAACCAAACAACAACACTTAGGATATGGGAAACAAAAGCGCCGTTTTGGATGTGGGGAATTATCCCGACGGTAGGGCATAACTGGAGAATCGATTTAGCTTGCCCTTCGTCCTTTCCTCTTCGCCTTGGCGGAGGCCCTCCTCCCGCCCTCAGCTTTGCCTCCTCTTCCTCCTCCTCCTCCTCCTGATCCTCATCTTTCCCTCCTCGATACGCACGCACACACACACATATATATATATATATATAGACTCCTCCATTTCCTCATCATTTGTTTTCCTCCTCCTCCTCCCCCTTCCCTCTGTTTCCATATCCCCACCCTGCCTCGTCTCCTCGTGCGCCTCTCCTCCCTCCAGGCCGGGGCGCGCGGGGCGATTTTTCTTGGCGCTGTCGCCGCCGCGGCCGGCAAAGGCGCCTTCGCCGATGGCCGCGTCGCGAAGCCGTTGGGGCAACCCCGCAAGCCAAACCGTTGGGGCAACCCCGCGGGCCGCTGGGGCGCGGGGGCAAACCGTTGGGGCAAACCCGCGCGGCCTCGAGCTGGGCGCGCCCGAACGGGGGGAAACGCGACGCCCACGTATGCGGCGGGCTGCTTCGCCTCGACCCTGGCTCTCTCTGCTCTCTTGTCGAACTCCAAGAGCGCCTTCCGCAGGGGAGCCAGCGGCGTGCGCTTGGAGACCTCGCGCGAGGGCGGCTGCGGGATCGGCGTGTTCCGCACGCGCGTGGCGCGGGAAAACAAACGTAAAAGGTGCAGCCGCCAACGGTCGTCCGACGCGCCCGTGCGGCCAGCGTCCTCGTCGCAGTCGATAGTGACGCCCTTGCGCAACGTCTGGCCTTGCGACGGCGTGGGGGTCAGGCGAGACGCGTGCCTCAGGCTTAACCCCGAGCGGCGCGCGCTGTGGGGCCCCGAGCTCTGCCGCGTAAGCTCCTGCTCGCTGGGCCTGCACATGAGCGAGTTCCGCGCCCGCGCCTTTGCCCCGCCGTCGTCGTCAGCGCCTTCGGCCCCTTGTGGCAGCAACTCGGCGACCTCCTGGTAATTCGGGGGCTCCTTGAAGCCGTGCACCTGCGTATTGGAGCCTCAAAGTCCCCGGAGCGAGAGCAAATACAGGGTTCAAATGGTCCCCCTGGATTAGTGACGCGAAGCGGGAGGCTTAGAGGGAGGGGGCTCCAGCTCGATACTTCCCAGCAACTCAGTGGCAGACGAGTCTCCCGCTCAAGACTCCGTCCATATTGAAACCCCAGAAACTTTACAGTGACGACAACTGTAGGGTTGGACTGACCCCATCGAATTAATAACGTAAAGCGGGGGGTCCATGGGTAGGGGGCTCCCGCTCGTTACTTCTTCGCACCGCACGCACAGACGAGGCTCCCAGAGCCCACACGCGACGCCAGTTACAAGGTTCGAATTGCCCCCCTCGGGTTGACAATAAGAGCCAGGGAGCCCGTAAGGAAGGGGCTCCCGTCCGATACTTCCTCGCAGCTCACACAGCAACGAATCTCCCGCTCGAGACTTCCTCCATGTCCAGACCTCAGGAGCCCCGAAATGACGACAGGTACGAAGTTCGCACGACTGTTCGGATTAGTAGCATGAAGCGGGGGGGCGAATGGGCTTCCGCTGGAGGCTTCCTCTCAACGCACTCACAGGCGAGGCTCCTGCGCGAGACTCCATCCATATGACGCCTCAGGAACCCAAAAGTGAACAAAGTTACAGAGTTCGAATGACCCCCATCGGGTTAGTAATATGGCGCGAGGAGCCCAATACGGAAGCGAGTCCCACTCGAGGCTCCCGCTCGAAACGAGCTTCAAATGAATGTCTGTGGTGATGATGTGAATGTGATGGTGACGATCGTGGTGGTGAGGTGACGGCGGAGTGACCATCATGATAAGACGATGGCCGTGATGATGGTGATACTGATAATGGGGATGGCGATGGTAGTGTTGATCCTGTTGAAGATGATGTTGTTGATGATGCTGCTGATGATGGTGATAGTGGTAATGATGGTGGTGACGATGATGATGATGCTGCTGCTGATGATGACGATGATGATGATGATGATGATGATGATGATGATGATGATGATGATGATGGTGGTGGTCATGCTGATCATGTGTTTGCTTGTTCCTCTGCTGTTGGTTCCTGTGCGGGGTGTCCAGAGAGAACAAGAAACATAGGATGTGGGGAACAACGGACTCACTAAGGCTGTTGGGAACATCATGAACCCAACCTTGCGGAGGTCCGCGCGGATCTCTTGGATCGGCGCTGCCCCCCCTGGCGGCGCCTCAGGCGCCGCCCTTGGCGCGCGAGGCGCGCCAGGAAGAGGAGGTCCACCGCCGATCCGAGAAATCAGCGAGGAGCTCCAAACGTTTATATGTTCATGCCAATTATTATTCTGATTCTTCTTATTCCTCTTCTTCTTCTTCTTCTTCTCCCTCCTCCTTTTCTTCTTCTTCTTCGTCTTATCTTCTTTTTCTTCATCTTCTCACAGCGCCACCGCTGACGACAACGACGCCGACGCCAACGACAACGCCGGCGGCAGCGGCGTCGTGGACGACGACGGCGGCGACGTCGGCGGCGATCCAAGAAGTCGGCGCGGACCTCCAAACCGTTTTCATGTATGCCTTTGCCACTTTCGTCCTCGAAAACTTGTGCCTCGGATCTCAGGGTCGTGGTCGCTGGCGTCGCGGTCGTGTGCTTCCCCTGACCGATGGAAAGGTACGGGCCTCACGCGAGGTGGCATCGCAGCCTCACGCAGCGGCTTGCGCAGGCCGCCGGAACGGCACACTGCATTGGAAGCGAGGGCGCTCACGCGCGCCCTTTCGTGGGCAGCTTGCGCGCCACTGTCGGTGAAGACGGCCCCGTTGCTCTGCGCTGCTCACCCGGTAAGGCTTCGGGCTGCGCGCAGGCGGCTCTCCCAGGCAGTCCTGGCTGGCCCCAACTGACTGACCAAAAAGGAACCCCATAGCCGTTTGGGAGGGGGCCTGGGCCAGGAGGGCCAAGAACATTATGGAGATCAGTCTCTTCTGTAGCGAACCAAGCCGCCCAGACTCATTTACCCCAGTGCAAAGACGGGGACCTCAGCGAGGCCGCGTCTGCATTGTGTAGTTCGGGCTAGGGGTTCTGTTCTCCTCGATGGTCAACAGGCCCTTCGAACAGTCTTAGGTCGGGCATGTCCCCCTACCGGCGGATTTTGAACGACAAATGAAAATACCCCAAACATATCCCCAAATGCGCAAACGTACTCCAAACATCGTCCCCAGATATATATATATATATATATATATATGTATGTATATATAGATATGTATATATATATATAGATCTATCGACTATTTTTGAATGTTCCTCCTGTAGGGGGACGTGCCCGACTCAAGAGCAGTCTGCGGGGGGTCTCTCGCGGTGCGCAGCCCGAGGCCTCGCCGCACTCGCCCGCCGCCCGCGGGGCCGCCGAGGGCGCGCCAACGACCCCCCGGCCTGCTCGTGCGCGAGCCAGGCGGCCCAGAGGAGCCGCGCCAGCGCGCCCGCGCCGGAGACCTGGACGCCCGTGGGCCCGCCTCGCGGGGCGGGAAGCGGTCGGCGCCGTCGAGCGATCGCGGCTCGGGGTCGCTCGCCCCCTCCCGTGGGCCCCCCTCGCGCCGCGAGGGAGGCAGGGCGCAAATCCTGCCAGCCCTCGCGGCACCGTCAGGCAACCGGCTCGGAATGAGAAGAGATCGCGTCCCCTGGATGCGATCCCCGTCCCCACCGGCGTGGCCTGGGCCCCGCTGGCCAATCGGCACCCCTGGATGGGGATGTAGGCCGTTGCCTTCGGGCTTCGAGGGGTGTATCCCCAACTGGGGTGTCAGTTTGGTGGGGGTCTCGAAGGAGGAGGAGGAGGGGGAGGAGGAGGGGGAGGAGGAGGAGGAGAAGGAGGAGGAGGAGGAGGAGGAGGAGGAGGAGGAGGAGGAGGAGGGGGAGGGGGAGGGAGAGGGGGAGGGGGGGGTTGAGGATGGGGATGGGGATGGTCGGCGCCGTCGACCGCTCGCGGATCGGGGTGCGCTCGCCCCCTCCCGTCGGCACAATGCGGCGACGGGCGGCGACGAGCTAGCCGGACCGCCACCGGGGCCCAACGACGACGGCGGCGACGGGAAGCGACGGGCGGCGAGGAACCGGCCGCACCGACACCCAAGTCCAGCGGCGACGGCGGCGACGGGCGGCGACGGGCCTGGCCCGACCGCCACTGGGGCACAGTTACCTCAGAACGCAAGCAAGATCTCCTAAGTGCAAGCGCTGCTTGGGAAATGGTGACGTCTTGCTTCTGAGCGGGCTTCTGGTCAAAGCCGACAAGAGAAAGAGAGACAACCCATGGAGGTGCCAGGATGTCCCTGCACCTCTGGTCCTCCGCCGGGCTGAGAAGCGATCCGCTCCAAAAGGGGCCTGTAATGCGAGGCAGGGAATTATCCATATCCACCGCCTGGGAACCGACGTCCTGGTGCCCCAGCGGGCGATGGATATGGATACATTTCGGCCCCCGGGGGCCCGAGTTTGTCCATCTCCACCGCCTGCCGAGGCTCCGAAAACTGACCCTGTAGGCGGTGGTCATGTATGAATTCCCGCCTCGGATGGAAACCCTCTGGGCTCATCCTGATCAATTTCTCAAACTGTAGGAAGCCCGTGGCGACGAGAACACCCAAACGAACCAAACCGTCATCCCGTCGTCCGGGCGTCGCCGCCGCAGCCGTCGCCGTCGCCTGGGCGTCGTAGTAGTCGTCGTCGTCGTCGTCGTCGTCGTCGTCGGCCCTGGCGCCGCCTGCCCAGCTCGGAAGCGCCAACTCGCACATGAGCGACGACCCGGCCGGCCCCACCCCTTTGGGGCGCCCACCCGCCGGCGTCGTCGTCGCCGTCGTGGACATGGACGTGGATGAGGGCGTCTTCGACGTGGAGGGAGGAGGAGCTGGGTGAGGAGCGGAGAGGGGGTAGGAGGGGGGAGGGGGAGGAGGGGGAGGAGGGAAAAAAGAGGAGGGAGGAGAGAGACGACGAGGAGGAAGGAACGATTATGGCGGAGGAGGCTGACACTGATGCTATTGAAGTTGCGAAAGCCAGAGAGATACTGTCCGAGGCAAGTCGTTCGTCTCCGCTGCGTCGCGAACCTTGGAGCGATGCAGCCATGTCTCATTCGGGCGCGTTGCCGAGGCAAACATGGACACGACGGGAGATCCGCTCTTGAGACACGAGTCGCACCAAGATGCCCCTGATCCTCCTTCGGAATGTCCCTGGCCACCACCGCCGTCTCCGCCCGAGAATATCCGCCTCCGACCGTGGTTCATACATACGTGCATACACGCATACATACTGTATATTCGTGTATAGGTATACAGGCATATATACACATGTACACACATGTGCATCCGACCGCCGTGCTTCGAGGCGCTCAGTGGGGTGTCAGCTATATACATACACATTCTATCATGTGTGTATATGTATGTATGCATGCATGCATGCATGCATGTACGTGTGTATCACTATACTTTGTCTTTTGAGGTTCTTACTTGTTTTCTACGGCGTCGGTCTGGCGGCTATGTAGTCGCCGTCGCCGCCTCGTCGCCGCCCGTTGTTTGGGCTTGTGCGTCGGAATGGCGACATGTAGTCGCCGTCGCCGCTCCGTCGCCGCCTTGTCGCCGCCCGTTGTGTGGGCCTGTGCGTCGGTCTGGCGGCTATGTAATCGCCATCGCCGCCTCGTCGCCGCCCGTCACAATGTTTAGATTCCCCCACGTCGATTGCTTTGCGTTGCTTTGCAGTGCTTTGCTTACACGACATCAACTGCATGACATTGATAGCACCGCGTGCATTGCACATCGTCGGTCCCTCTCCCCCCGGGACTTAACGGGCCCCTTTTCGTATTGTAATTTGCGTATGAAGCTGTCCCATCGTTCATCTTAACTTTGAACTCGTATCATCCCAGCTCGACAAGTGTCCCCCGCCCTTTCATCCCCCGCAAACAACCAATGCCCGTCCACTCGCTTATCGGAAACCACAAATTTCCAAACATCCCTTGCAACCGTGAGACGGACTGCATACGGGCGCGTCGTCGCGCGCATGCCGAAATCGCTCGAACACCTTAGATTTCGTTTGGGTTTCAAGTCGAGTATCCCGAAACATAAAAGGTACATGGTTTCGCAACGAAAGCGTTCAAACCATACTGGCGCTTCCGCTCGCGCTTCCGCTCTTGTATTGCGTATTCATTAAAACCGTTGAGTGCTGAACATGATCATAACATGCTACCAAACGTGCCCCTCGCGCGCGCATGTCGAAATCGGTCGACCAATCTTGCGCGCGTGCTGTCGCAAGAAACCCCGTCAACAATGGAACGAAATGCGCGCGCGCGTCGTCGCGCGCGCATGCCGGAATCCTTCAAACACCTTAGGTTTCGTTGGGGCTTCAAAATAGAATGTCCCAAAACATAAAACAAATGGCTTCGCAACACAAACTTTCAAACCATACTGGCGCTTCCGCTCTTGTGTTGCACATTCATCAGAAAACCGTTGGGTGTTCGACATGTTCATACCATGCTACCAAGCGTGCCTCTCGCGCGCGCATGTCGACATCGGTCGACCGCCCTTGCGCGCGTGCAGTCGCAAGAAACCTCGTGAACAATGGGACGACATGCGCGCGCGCGCCGTCGCGCGCGCATGCCGGAATCCTTCAAACACCTTGCATTTCGTTCGGATTTCAAGCCCGACTGTCCCGAACACACACGCATGCAGACATACATACATGCATACATACATACATACATACATACACACCCACACCCACATACATACATACATACATACATACATACATACATACATACATACATACATATATATATATATATAGACAGACGCATGGCTTACAACTCCACTACTCAAACATGCCTGCGTTCGCGCTTCTGCGAGTTCTCCAGGCAACCATCGGTTTTCAACATGTTCATTCAATTCTGCCCTTCGGGCTTATCGCGCCGCGTGTCGAAATCATTCGAACGCCCTCGCGCGCGTGCTGGGGGGAGACACGATCCGTATAAAATAATTCCATGCGGGCCACTCGCGCGTCGGCCGCGCGCGCCTGTCAAACTCCTTCCAACACCCTCATCACCGACAGCGCTAGCGCGGCCGCATCGGCCGCGCTAGAGTAGCTGGCCTCTTCGCGCACGAGCATGTGCGGGCTAGCGCGGCCGCAGAGATGCACCAGCCAACGCCGAGCACCAATCGCAATCGTCGCCGCAAAAGCTTATGCAAACCAGGTTGCGGGTGGGTGGGTGGGATGGTTGCGCGAGCAGTGGAGTTGACAACACACTGCAAACATAACCTAGCTCCCTTTTCTAAAACGATATGAGGATCTCCCCCCCCACCTGGAATTAACGGCCCGCTTTTTCGTATTGCGATGTGCATATGATGCTTGCCCACCGTCCATCCTCACTACGAGTTCGTATCATCCCAAGCCGGCCGGTATCGGCAACCCCCTCATCCCCTGGAAAAAACTATGCGCGCACTCGTGTATAACAATCCGCAGTTTCCGGGATTCCATTGCAAAAAAAAACGACATGCGCACGAACGAGTCGTCGCGCGCGCGGGCGGGAATCCTTCAACAACCTTAGGTTTCGTTGAGGGTTCAAAATCGAGCGTCCCGAAAACAGATGATGCACATGATTCCGCAACAAGTTTTCAACCATATAAGAAAACCGTTGGTTCTTCAACATGTTCAGAACATGCTACCAAGCGGGCCTCTCGCGCGTGCATGTCGGAATCGGTCGAACGCCCCTGCGCGCGTGCTGTCGCCAGCATCCCTTGCAACAAACTTGATGAAGTGCACGCGCGCGCCAGAATCCTTCAAACACTTGCGGTTCCGCTGGGGCTTTCAAAACCGAGGGACCGAGTGCCCCGCAAACATATATGACGCACGTGATTGTGTCACGCCAATCCTCAACATGCCTGCGCTCGCGCCCCCGCGGTTTCTCAAGACAGCTATCGGTTTCATTCAATCTTGCCAGACGGACCTCTCGCGCCGCATGTCGATATCATTCGAACGCCATTGCGCGCGTGCTGGGGGGAGGTGGCGCGGTCCGTATCAGATAACACCATGCGGGCCACTCTCGCGCGTCGGGCGCGCGCGCATGTCGAACTCCTTCCAAAACCCCCATCGCCGAAGCGAAGACGTCGTCATCGTCGTCGGCGTGATCAGCATCGGCGCCGTCATTGGCCTTGCCGTCGCCAGTGTCACCATCGTCACCAGCATCGATACTACCGTCCTCGTGTCTGTGGTTGTCGACGTCGCCATGATACCACGCCCGCCCGAGTCGCCGACTCGCGCTGAAGTCCCCGTTGTGGTAGTGCCCAGCGGTCCGCGCCAGCGCGACCGCGTCGGTCGCGCCGAACTAGCTGGCAACTGCGCGCGCGAGCATGCGCGGGCTAGGGCGGCCGCAGCGACACATCAGCCAACACCAAACACTCATCGAAACCGCCGCCGCATAGGCTTATGCAAACCAAGTTGCGGGCGGGTGGGTGGGATGGTTGTGCGAACAATGAAGTTGGCAACCCACTGCGGGCAGAAAGTAATTGCACCACATGGCTTGCACCACGTAAATTGCACAAGATATTCTGCACCACGCAGGTTGCTCCACGTCGATTGTACCACATAAACGTACAGCACACATTTCACAACATAGATTGACATTTCTTCTTCGTGTATATATATATATATATATATATGTATACACACCTATACGACCACCCTGCGGGTGAAAAGGAGGTTGGGGGGGAGGGGCCCAACACTGGGCAACAGTGGTGATGGTTGTTCTGGCGATGCCAGTGGAGATTGTTGCGTTGCCGCTCGCTCTTGGGAGCTTTGGTGTCGAGTTGTTTACGCCACCCTTGGCTATTGGGCGCCTTGGTACCATCCCCTTCCCCCGAAAACCTGCCCAATGGCGGCGAACGACGACGACGGTTTTTGTGTTTGAGGCCTCCTGAGGCCCCGCTGTTCGCCAGGATCGCCTCGAAATGATACCGGAGAAACCCCCCAATCAGATTTTTGTTAAGATGGCTATCGGGCTATGGGGCTATAGGGCTGCAGGGCTATAGGGCAATAGGGCAATGGGGCTATGGTATTATAGGGCTATCGGGCTTTATGGCTATATGGCTATAGTGCTATGAGGCTATAGGGCTATTAAGCTTATAGGGCTATGCGGGGTATAGGGCTAGTGGTGCTATAGGGCTATAGTGCAATAGGGCTATAGGGCTCTAGGGCTATAAGGCTATGAGGCTATTCGGGCTCTAGGGCGTGAGGGCTACAAAACACTTGGACACGCCCGGGCACCCGGGCACCTGGGCACCCGGGCACCCCCGGGCCCCCGGGCGTGCGGCGAAAATCGGCGGCAAACCTAACCTAACCATATGAATCCGCTAGGACCCTCACAGAGGCAAGCTCTGATGATGGAATCTTGCTCAACGGCGGGCCCTCGGCGGTCGAGAACGACGCACCGCCATCGAAACTATTTTTTCCTTGCTCTTTCGAGCTCGCGCCAACATCCGAGGGCACCGCTAGCCGAAACAGGGCAAACGGCTGGAAAGCTCACAATCGATCTCACTATCGATCTCAGTCGATCGATCTCAGTCGATCAATATCACAATCGATAATCACTATCGATCTCACTATTGATTCCGCAGTCGATATCACTATCGATCTCACTATCGATCTCACAATCGACCTCGCAATCGATCGCACTATCGATATCACCATCGATCTCACGATTAATCTCACTATCGATCTCCCGACGGGACACCGACGGGACACCGCAGGACACCGACGGGACACCGCGCGGCCCCGAAGGCCGGGTCGCCAAACATTTGGTCTGGCCGCGCCTCAGCCACAAGTGATTTTTTTCTCGCCCGCCCACGCAGTTTCGCCTCGCCCGCACGCACGGCACGCACGAACACGAAACCGAAATCGATTTCCCGGTAGGGGGGCTCTCCGTTCCACTTCGACCTCCCCCCCCAACCTCCGATATATGATCAGCCCAAATGTATGGACCCCCCCTGGGGAAATTACACATGCATAATATTTTTTCTCATCGTTCCCCCAACCACGCCAGCCCACGGGTTGGGCGGTCTTTTGTCTTGCCCCGCCCCTGCAACGGCGTGGTCAGTCCTTTCGGTCGCCCACGCAGCTTAGCTTCACCCGCGCGCGCGACACGAACCCGAAACCGAAACCGATTTCCTGGTGGGGGGCTCTTCGTTCCACGTCAAACTCACCCTTCCAACCTCCGATATACCTATGCGACCACCCTTCGGGTGATAAAGAAGTTGTGGGGGGACGGAACCAACGTTTCACTCAATTGATTTGACCACCGATGTCGGTCGCACTACTTCCATCACCATCGACCTCATTACACGGGACACCGACGGGACACCACGGCGGGACACCCCCAGCCACCGCCCGCGGACACCGACGGGACACCATTGTGGGACACCACGGCGGGACACCCCCGGTCCCGGAGGGGCGGTCGTTTGTGTTGACATGCCCTGGCCACAGCAGGGTCATTCCTGTCGTCCGCCCACGCAGCTTCACTTCGTCCGAACGCACGGCACGAACCCGAAACCGATTTCCTGGTGGGGGCTCTCCGTTCCATCTCGATCTCACCCCCCATTCTCCGATCTACATAACATACATATAGCTATACGATCACCCTGCTGGTGACAATGGGGTTCGGGGAGGAAAGACCAAATTTTCACCCAATTGATCTGATTACCGATCTCACTATCGATCATTCTTTTGGTATGACTACCAATATCACTATTGATCTCACTATCGATATCATTACCGATTTCACTGTCGATCGCACTATCGATCTCGGTATCGATCACACTATCGATTTCGGTATCGATCTCGCAATCGATGTTACTATCGATCGCGCGATCGATCTTTATATCGGTATCAATATCAATCCCACTCTCGGTCCCACTACCTATCTTGCCATCGATATTACTATCGATCTCACGGCCGATCGCACGATCGTTTTTTCTACTGGTGTCACACTCGATCCACCTATCGGTATTACTCGATCGATTTGTTTATCGATCTCACAAACGATTTCACGATCGATCTCACCATCGATGCCACTATCCTTTTCACTAGCGATTTGACTATCGATCTCACTACCGACTTCACGGCCGATCTCACTCTCGAGCTCACAATTGACCTGATTATCGATCTCACAATCGATCTCACTATCACGCACTATTGATCCCGCGATCGATCTCATTATCGAATTCAATATCGGTCTCGCGATCGATCTCACTATCGGTCCCACTATCGATCCCACTACAGGACACCGACGTGACACCACGGCGAGACAACCCGGCCACCGTTCGCCCAGCGATCAACGGCTCTTGACCCACCCTAGCCACGGCGGAGTCAGTCCCCTCGCCCGCACGCACGGCACGAACCCGAAATAGGAACCAATTTCCTGCTGGGGGGCGTTCCCTTCCACTTCGATCCCACCCCCCAATTTCCACTTCGAAGTCTCCGTGCTACTGTGATCCCCCTTTCCACATATATATATATATATATATATATATCCATGTCTATATAATCATGGTAGGTGTGTGTACCTTTACATTATATATATATATGTCGGAGAAGGGGGATCCTCGGTCCTCTCTCCTCCCCCCTCTTTTTCTCATCCTCCGCACTCCTCTCTCCTCCTGCTGAGCCAAGCGCCCGATTCACAAACACGGCCGCCGTGTCCAAGTCCAGGAAGCTGAGACGGGCGTCGTACTCTTGGACGCCGCGCGCCTGAGATGGGAAAGGGGGGAGGGACGACCGTCGCACCCTTGGGCTCCTCGCGCTTGAGAGGGAAGCTGGAGCACGTCAACCTTCCATTTCCGGCAGTGGGCCTTGGCGTGCGTGGTGTTCACCACCTCCCCGCCCCGTGCTTGCTTCTCCTCGGGAGCCCCCCGGTAGGTGCACAACTTCTGGACCCGAGGCGACAGGCACGTGAGGCACCAGATCCTGCAGCTGAGTGCTAACACATCAGCCAGATCTGGATTCGCTGCAGTCTGCTGGGGGATCTAGGAAAAAGAGAAACCCACATAAACATAAACTTTTGGCGCTCGTCGCGGATTTCTTTGATCTGCGCTCTGCGCTGGACCCCCTGCGTGGCGCGCGGAACGCGCCAGTTGCGGCGCGGGGGCGCCGCTGGGGGGGGGCCCAGCGCGGATCCAAAAAATCCGCGCGTGGCGCAGAAAGGTATGTTTACGCCTTTTTTTGATTCTTCGAGGATTGGGGAAGGACCCGATCGGCCGGCCTCGGCCTTGCCTCACCACCCCTCGCTTGCGCCACGCCTGCCCTGGCCCGCTGCCGCAGCACACGCACTCAAGGCAGCGGGCCTGTCTGCGCGGCTGGTTTTGGGGAGGAAGGCGCCTACTTTTAGGTCGGGCATGTCCTCCTACAGGCGGATTTTGGACGACCAATTAAACTATTTTTCAAAAGTTTCAGAAGTAATCAGCAATTGTCACAACATCGTCCCCATCCTATTTCTGGGGGATATTTGAATTTTCCTCCTGCAGAGGGACAGGCCCGACTTAAGCTTATTTCGATGCTATGTGCGGGAAGGGAGATTTCAGTGTTATGTGCGGCACCGCTTTTTCCCACGGGCCGGGAAGGGCCCAGGGAGCCCGAAGACGGCGAGAAACTTAGGATCTCTTTTACCTCAGGGCTGCGTTCGCTTCAGTTTGACACGCCTAGAGCCTACATGGCACCTGCAGTATTAAAGAACAATAATACAAGTCTCGCGCGCGGTCCGTCTCCCGACGCCCCTCAACTTCAACGTTCGCGCGGGGCGCTGCGCGATGTGATTTCTCCGCCGCTGGCCGCGGATGAGTCAACATTGAAATCGGGGGTCCGGTGGGGGGGGGGGGGCGGCCCAAGTTTACAAAGCTTGCTTTGCTTTTTCAAGGGCGCTATCTGTCTGCTTCGGAGCTCCCTCGCTACAGTTCCCCTGGGCCGATGTCCCCAAGTATCCTGTCCCTCCTGCCTCAGGGCCTCCTTACCTGAGGACCTCTTTCCTCTCAGCATGGCATAGCCTCGAGCCTGCATGGCTTGCACTGTCTGCGTCGTAGTAGCTCCCTCGCTACGATGAAAACAAGGCTAGGATCGGGATAAATCGCTCCAGAGCGTTCCGGAGCGCTCTCAGAGCGTTCCAGAACGCTCTGGAGCGGCTGCGGCGCCCAATACATCCTCCAAACCCGCCGACTCTCAGAGCTTTCGAGTTATCCCGATCCGGTTTTGTCCCGATCTTCGCGTCGTTTTAACAACCTCCCCGGTCCTGCACCGAACGGGGGACTCGGATCGGATCAGGGCGTGCGCCGGATCGCATCGCGCCGGCTCGGCGTCGGAATCGAACCGAGTCGGCGGCGCTCGGAGGCACCACGACGCCGCGCATCGGACCGCCCGAGAGTCGGAATCGAATCGAGTCGGGCTGGCCAGAGCCGATACAACATTTTTTTTGGGGGGGGCCTCTGAAAGATCTCGGGGGTCCCAGTGAGTGCTCAGGGCCTCGGGCGCCGAAGACGAATGAACGACCACGCTCCCGTGGCAACCATCCCAACAGACGGAAGCCGACGGCGGAAAGCAAAGCACAGCCGATACAACATCGGATCGATCGGATCGAAAGTGGACCCTGCGACGGTGTGGCTGGCATGGCCGCGGGGGTCACCCGCAAAAGCCTGGCGCCAACGATCTGATAAAAGGCACTGTGGCAGACGCCCGCCGGCCACAAGCACTTCTTCTGTCCGCAGGCCTGGTGAGCGCAAGGGGCTGGTCGAGCGGCTCACGGGCGCAAAACAATTACGGCGAGGGCATTGGAGAAGGGGCCCCAGGATACACACATAAATACACACAAATAAAAAGTTGCCCCATATTTTCCCATATTTTCTGGGTTTCTGTCTTCCCCCCACTTCCCATATTTTCCAATATTTTCTGGGGAATCGAGGATTGATTGTGTCTGTGTTTTTTTTTCTCCTCTTGAATTGGAGAGGGAACCGTTGGATGGGGCATCCGAGGTCTGGGTGCGGTGGAACTCCGATCGTGGATCGGCCATGGACAGCACCGCCGCCCTCTCGAGGTGGCGGGCCCCGGAAACCATGGGTAGCACCGCCGCCCTGTTGAGCTGGCGGGCCCGGGAAACCCGGAACCCAAACACTCTGTCCTCTCTCGGCATGCCAACTGTTGCTTCGGCCGGCTTCCGCCGGCGGAGCCGCCGCCGCTGCGGCGCGATCCTCCAACCCCACCTGCTCCGACCCCACCCAGGAGGCTTCGAGTTTGGCCGATTCCGACGCCCTGGACCCGAACATCTTGTCAGCGCCTGGGAGGTCGACTCTTGCATTCTTCCGCCGACTCGCCGCCGCCATCCGCCGAGGAGGCGATGGCAGCTCCTTCGGTCCTCGCAGGCGAGGCCCTCTTCGAGACGCTCCAGAGAAGGAACCCGCCAGGGTCTGAGGCATCCGGGGCTCAGTCCTCAACGCCAGCGCCCCCGCCGCATGCCCATCGAGGTAGGAGGAGGAGGAGGAGGAGGAGGAGGAGGAGGAGGAGGAGGAGGAGGAGGAGGAGGAGGAGGAGGAGGAGGAGGAGGAGGAGGAGGGAGGGAGGAGGAGGAGGAGGAGGAGGAGGAGGAGGAGGAGGAGGAGGAGGAGGAGGAGGAGCGTGAGGAGCAGGAGGCGGGCAGAGCGGCCGCGCGGGGGGGGGAGGGAGGCGGGCGAGGTCAGATCGTGCCCTCCGTGGGCCCCGGAGGCGGCAGGTGCCGTGCTCTCCCCATGTCGAACATCGGAGGCCTGGAAATTGGCACCAACACCAAGACAGGGGGTTGCCCTCCACAGGGGGAAGGTGATCCTAGATTTTCGGTGTTGGTGGTAATAGTTCGGCCACCCTGGAAGCCAGAGTATTACCACCATCACCGAGATCGGGATCTTCTTCCCTCGGTGGAGGCACACCGCCGAAATTGGTGTTGGTGTCAATCTCTAGGCCTGCGAGAACAAGCGTCTTTGAAACTGGGAGCGGTAAAAAAAAAAACGCCGACCAGAAACTGCCAAAGCACGGCTCGGGGATTGGAAACATGACCGAAACAAGCAAAAACGACCGCGGAACCGGCGGACAAACCGCGACGGAAACGGCATCAAAAGCAGCAAGCCGGAACGACCACGGAACCGGCAGACAAACCGCGACGGAAACGGCATCAAAAGCGGCAAGCCGGAACCGGTAACGAAAACGGCCCTGTCGTTTCCAGGGCCCGCCAAGTGCAGGTCTTCGTCAAATGGCTAGGGCCTATGCGTGACGAGGTCGCGGGCGAGGGGCAGGAGCGTCCCGGAAGACGTACAAGGAACCCAGGGTCTGAAAGTCAGGAGAATGCCAAGTGAGGCTTCGCCACGGATGTCATTGCCGCCCTCATCACAGAAAGAGCCCTCCAGAGTCTGCAGACTCCTGAGTACATTCTTTAACGAACGCCCCAACCGTACAGCCTGCCCGCTACGAAGACACGGAGAAGCACGAGGATGCCATTATCGTCGTCGTCTTCGTCGTCGTCGTCGTCGTCGTTCATGGACCTCCGACGTCGTGATCTCTTCCGCGGCGCGTGCCCCTTAGCTCTCGGCCACATCCCCGAGCCCGGCTTCTCGTCGTGGGTCGTTATTTGACGGTCCCTGGGCCCAGAGAGAGACTCCCGAAGGCCCGAAGCCAGATCTGGGTCGAGACCGTCGTCGGCGGCGGCATCGGCATCGGCATCGGCATCGCGCCGTCGGCGTCGGCGTCGCTGTCGGAGTCGGAGTCGGAGTCGGAGTCGGAGTCACTATCGCTATTGTTATTGCTGTCGTCGCCACCACGATCGGCGTCGTCGGCACTGTTGTCGTCGCCGCCGTTCCCGTCGGCACAGTCGGCGTCGTCACCGGCGCCGTCGGCACCGCTGACGTTGCAATCGGCGTCGGCGTCGTCGGCGCCGTGGGTTAGCTCCCAGTCCTGGTCCTCCCTGTTCAGACAAGCGCGCTCCACTACACGCAAAGCGACTGCTCGCAAATGACCTGGACCCGCCGCGTGAGAGTCACGATCCACTGCGTCGAGGAACGCCTGCTTCTTTGCCAGCCGTCTTCGAGCAGGCGCTCTGCGAACCATGGTAGGCGCTCGGTGACTCCTTCTCGCTGGCCACGCCAAGCGTCTCGCGGGCCGCCCCCGGCACCGGAGCGGCAGGCATCCACGGACATGACGAACCAACAACACACACCCATACCCATAGGGGGGTCGGAGCGGGCTATGGGTGCGTGTTGTCGGACGGGGGCCCCCGCTCCGACGGGAGCGTTCCCCAGGGTCCGACAGCCCGCGCCCATACCCATAGCCGGTCCTCCTCTCAACGACCCCCCCTGTGGGTGTGGGTGTGTGTTGCTCGTTCGTCAGGACGGGAGCCGCAGCGGCGCCGCGGCGAGCCGCGAAACCAAAGAGAGGGGCGCGGGGAGGGGCGGCGGACCGGGCCCCGCCCGCGGCCCCCGGGGCGGCGGCGGACGTGCCGACGGGGGCGCGCGCACGGCCCGCGCAGAGGAGCGATACGGCTGGGAGCCCCCAGACCAGCTGGTGAGATGCCGGGTGGTGACCTCCCTGACCTTCCAGGAGGACTAAAAAACAGCACCAGGGCGCCGACGTCCTAATTCCTGTCGAGGTTTGAGGCAGTCCAGAAAGATCTGTCTGGAGTGCTATTTTTTAGCGCTCTGGAAGGTCAGGGCTGGAGCCCCCACAGCGTCACCGCCGGGATCTGGAACACGAGGGGTCATCGCCGGGTTTCGTGGCTATAGCCTGGACCCGCCAGCGTCCGGGACGTGCTCGAAGAGCCCGACGGGCCCCCACCTCGCGGGTGGTGACGCGGAGCCGCCCGAGACTCACCGCCGGGTGTTGTCACCACCGCGGCTGGTCGGCGGTGGACAAACCTCCCTTTAGTAAACCTCCCTTTGGTGAAAACGGCCTGGGACTGAAACCGACGGACCTGGACGCGCAAAAAATGACGGCCGCGACGCCCTCTC